AATGTGCAACTACCACCGTTCCAGCGATGCAATGACCATGAATGAGCTCCCTTGCTGGCGACATCTTTGCTCAATCGTCTTCCAGGTTTACATCCTCTGCCATCTTGATTGGCCATGAGGGGATGGTGTGTAACTCATGCGCTTATACAGCTCAGTGTTAGCACATTGTCCTAAAGAATACTAACAGGCAGGTAAGAATCATTTAGGGCCCGTTCACACCACATCCAGATCATCGCCAGATCCGATTGTTTCCGGACCCAAAATGCACCCTAATGTATCCCTATGCTATTTCTGACCTCTGGTCACACCAGCGCAGTCCGCTCCATTTCCGTTTGGAATGCATGGAAATGCATCAAAAACGCATGGAATGCACTGGACAACACCTGAAAGCCCATTTTAATCTAAAGAAAAACAGCTCTGGAACGCGGCAAAATCGCAGTAAACACTGCGTTCCAGATCTGGCCCGGAAAATGTTGTGAACCTGCCTACATTTCCAGTACATTCCAGACCAGACAAAATGAGACATGCAATATTTTTCTGGTCTGGAACGGACTGCGCTGGTGTGAACAGAGGCAAGAAATAGCATAGGGATACATTAGGATGCATTTTGGGTCTGGAAATGATCTGTATGTGGTGTGAATAGGCCCTAAGAAGAGTCACAGTATGTCTCTTCTGCAAAAACAAAGCCCCCCTGTTTACTCGCTTTTATTTTTTGTAAAGTTCCCCTTTAATAAATCCTTTTTGGGTTTTCCTGTGAAGGTGTAGCTGCGATCAATGGCTAATCTTGTACAGCTGTAGCCATGTGGTAAACAGACAGTTAGTAATTACCGTATTTCCACTGAGATCTCATTACTTTGTCATGCGAGGTTAGCAACCTGAAAACGGCTTTATCAGTTTAATGAGTGCTTTTCGCTCTGCTGCATCAATTCTCTTCTCCGAGCGAGGCAACTAGAGAACAATACTGTGGAAAAGTCATATTTCAGCTTGTATTCAGCTTGTAAATGGATGTTTGTGTTCCATTTGTGTAAAGAGAACGTGCTAGACCCATTTTTTGTTAACCCCTTCATGACAGAGGCCTTTTTTCATTTTTTGCACCCATGTTATATTCCACATTTTAGGCCTGAAAATTACTTAAAACCCCCAAACATTATATATTTTCTTAAAGCCAAGACACTATAGAATATAATGGTGGTAGTTGCAAATTTTTATGTTGCACGATATTAGCGCAACTCCTTCTCAAACCCCAAAATTTAGTGCAAAATGCACTTAAATGCCCCAAAACACAATTAAATACCATTTAAAAAAAAAAGAAAATATAAAAGATGAGGTTACAAGAATAAATATAAACTCAACATGCCCAAGTTAAAAATTGTGTGCGTCCATGAAATGGCGACAAAATTCAGTACCCCAAAAAGTCCATCAACGCTTTTAAAATAATTATTGCTCTCACTCTGGCGTGCGTGGCGATACCCAACGTGTAGCGCGTTCGTCGTTTTCATACGTAGGCCCACCTGACACGTGTTTACGGACGCGCGTGCTCTCGGGGGACTTTAACAATTTTTTACAAATGATATTTTTACATTTATTTTATTTAATGTTAATTATAAAAACTTTTTTTACAATAAATGCTATCACATAGTGGGGCTCACAAGCCCCCCATGTGATAGCAGATGGGGGAACAGATGCAAAAGCCGCAGGGAGTCTGTTTAAATAACCCCGATGCCAGCAACGTGCACTGTACATCGCTGGTCGTGAAGGGGTTAAAGTCCACCAACTTCTGGTTACATCTGAATGAACACATACACGGCTTCTAAATTTTGGAATTCCTAATTTTGTATTTATTTTTAAAGCAAGTACTTGAGTTTGACTAGGTATTACAACAGAGCTCAGAAAGGAGTAGGGAGAAGCAGCACAAGGAGCCAGTCATGTGTTCGGCAGTATAAGGAGCATACTAATGGAAGAAGAGAACAGACTGACCAAGAGAGGTGCTGCTTCTCTGTTCGCTGTCCAATCACAGGGTGAGAAGGGGGCCTTAAGTTAAAGTGAAACTGCAGCAGAGAAAGACAAGGTCCTCTACCCTGCTAGACAAGACTGCTGTGGGGCAGAGCTGTGTAAATTTCAGAATTGGAGGGACAGAAAAAATCAGCTTTTATATATGTAGGCCATCAGTCTATATAGCTGTTTCAGCTTTACAAACCAAGCCCCAAGACATAACTGATGTTGCAACTGGCTATTACTTTAAATTACTTGTGTTAAATGTATTTCTCCATTGTCCATAATCTCGGATTCGTAATCCATCATGTTTAGGTAATAATGATGGTACTCCGAATCCCAGGACATGGCAAGATGGCACTTTTATCCCATCCAGATTTTTCAAACGACTTTGCACATCCCTTCATGTTACTATTAGATGTCGGTGCTCACTAATGCTTAGCTAAGTGCTATATAAACCTCAGTCACAGGTCACATCACCAGTAGATTGGATCATTTTCATACTCGAGGGGTAGAAATGATCGCAAGGAACTAAGATCACATCCAGTCAGACTTATGAGCTCATACCACAGGTCCCAATGGAATCATTGAGATCTATTGCTGGTGGAGAGGCAGGTGCTGAATTGCCACGGCCTTTGTTACATGAAATGAAAGTTGCATTACAGAAGTAAAGTGCTTTTCTGGGATCACCGAGTGTCTGTGTGCCGTGACTATGCAATGTGTGTGGTAGAAGTTGGGAATCGGACCCAGAGTCTATGGGTGAGAGCTCGGTACCCTACACCAGTGCTCCCCAACCTTTTTATCGCCGCGGACCGGTCAACGTTTGATCATTTTACCGTGGCCCGCTCAGGAGACCTACACCTCTGGTCAGGTGATTATGAAGAAGGTTGAGTGTAGTCTGGTGTTCCAATACCTGGGGGAGCCAGACTTGAAGCTGAATGGTGGGGTGATGTCATGATTGCATTACCAGGTGTGCTATGGGCTCAATGCAGACCTCTCTGTATAACAGACATAAGCTCTGTCAGCAAATGGACCACCAGACTGCCTGTGTATGCCACTAAGCTTCACAGCAAGAGGCTGCAACCACTGCCAATGCTGATACTACTTTTCCTGTTACTGTTGTTATTATTATAATGGCAAGAACTGTTTAGTTATTTTCCTCTTCAGATTTGTTCATGATAAGAAAATGCAAAAAAGTTTACGTTTATTGACTATAAACTATCATTCTTTCTCAAATCTACACAAAGTTGCAAAAACAAGGTAGTAAGGGAGTAGAAAGCAGAAGGAAATGTGTCCTTGGACATGTTTTGAGCTTCCATGTTAAAGTGACAAGAAACGTGGGAGTTAAACCTTAAAAATGCAAAAAACAAACAAAAAAAAGTACCTTAACTATTAACAAAAATGTATCTTATTTGTGTGTCACTCGGCTGTAGATCCTCATCTCTGAATTGGTGCCGACACTGTCCTTCCTTCTGGAGGGTGGCCACTTTTGTTCCCCATGGTCCCAATTTGTATTGAGATTGTAGTCCATCACAGGAGAGAAATTGTAGCAGTGGTTACTTCACAACACACACAAGGACCATGGGGAACAACAGTAGCCCCCCTCCAGAAGGAAGCACAATGTCGGCACCCAGGATGCATCTGTGAGGCCTGGATTACAGGAAGTGGGGGAAAAAAGTCATTGTAAGTAAAAGCAAAAATGTTTTCATGAATGTAAGATCATTTCATATCATCATGCAGCGCTGCTTGCGGATGTGATTTTTTTTTCAGTGAAGGGGGATAAAGTTCCACTTACAAAATTAGTGTAATTTCCCTGAAAGTGCACTGAAACTGGCAATACTTTATTCCCCCATCCACACTTACAGTGACAGGGCCAAACACTGGTCTAGTTTTGGGTCAGCAGAGCTCGGCAAAAACGGAAACTAATGTATGGCCAGCTTAATTATACAGGTTGCGTATTGCTGGCTACTAGCTCTGGGTTGAGGTTTGTCTAAGCCTGCTATAACATAATAAAGAATAAAAACTACCATTCACAATGCATGGTAATGCACTACCATGCATTGTGGTGCATTCAAATGAATGGATCGCCGCAAAGCACGTTAACATTCTTGGCATAGCAAGCAATGGCACCGTTGAGACCACTTATCGCTATGGTCACTGCTAGTCCCAACCTAGTATCTAACTTTCATTGAATACACCCAAGAAACGCACATAATGTACTGTGTACAAGAATGTGCAGTCACCATAGTTAAATTATTGTTAGGATAATTCAGTTTGCTGTGTAGTGTGCACCAACCCCAATGTGTGCATTCTGCAGCCTGGCTGGCTCCTTGGAAACTGCAGTTTATAAGACACAGATGTTTGCAGGATGTGTATCTGAAACCTCATTCCCTGAACAAGCATGATATTCTTTCCTGGCCCCAGCATGAAGTGCCTAAATCTTTGGTGCAATTCGGGCATCTGTGCGTGTGGGTGATGTCTAGACATCTCAGCAGCACGCATCAACGAGAGTTCAAAAAGAATCTCCCAGACCAGCATCCTGATTTGTGGCCGCATCACGTTTCTGTTCTAAAATAATGTATCGCATGCCAGAGAAGAGCTCTTAAAATTTTACAGCAAGAGCTTTTTCAGCCCTTGAGCACAGTCCTGTCACAGCGGGACAGCCATCAAATGATGCCTTAGCACTTGTGCTGCAATCGGCCTCTCCCTGTGAGCAGGAGTAAACGGGTGATTAGGCTGATGTACATGCTGCTCAAGTGTTTGATCCTAAAACTGTGTCTACAGAAACAAATGAGCGGTGTGATTTTGATTGGGGTTATTCAGTGGATATCGGGAGATCCTGAGCTGTTCTTCAACAGCATCTTGCCGGCTACTGGGACATGTAGTTCAGAAACAGTGGGGAATGTCGAAATGCATCCAGTCTATTGCCTATTTTTTACCTGCATTGTGTGCATACAAGCAGTGTGTCCTGCCTCCTATAATGGTGTATGTTTTCTTTTTTCTTCTAGGGCGCCAATGCCTCGGCTTTAGAGAAAGAGATTGGTCCGGAACAGTTTCCAGTGAATGAGCACTATTTTGGTTTAGTAAATGTAAGTGAATCTTTATGCATTTAAGAAATAAAATCAATCTCTCTCCCTCTCCCCATCACCTTTTTATGAACGATGGATATATATATATATATATACGCACGCACGCACACACACACTGTACACATATTTCAACCTGATGCATGTATTTTATTTAATACACATTTAGTATTCCGCATTACTTTTCCTAAAGGGACCCGTTCTCAAATCGTATCTTGCATTAGTGTGATAGACCATGTCTACAGCTTCTCCAATCCTGCCAGCAACAAGAACACTTTTGCAAAATGTATTATATTCTGCTGACCAATAAATTGGAGTATTTGTCCACAAGACATCTTAGTTGATCACATGAAGAATAGACACTAAATAACAGTGTAATGAACTTAAGATAGGTGGTGGGAAGTGATAGACACAGAGTTTAGATGAGGGGGAGAAATAACACAAGAGGTGTATAAAAGTTGACCTCCTCCCATTCCTCTGGAGGAAGACTCGAGAGATAGGACTGAATGATAAGGAAAGTGGAAGTTGATTTGGTAAGAAGTATATGTGAGTGATAGATGGGGTTTCTTTTTTTATGTATTTCAAAATGTACTATGTAAATTCAAAAATGTACTATGTAAATTATATCAAATTTATGTGCAATAAAAATATATTAAACAAAAAAAAAATATTCTGCTGACCGTATGCGGTGATAAAGTGGACCTTTACCTCCTTTGGCTCTCCATGCTAATATGTAATCATCTTATATTGATTAGTTAAACGTTTTCATTTTACTTACAATTTCTTGATTTCTACTTCTTGGTTCTCTTTGGCAAAAGTGATGTAATCGTGCCCAAGCATTGCATTCTGGGAAGATTACATAAGCAGAGCATTGCTGGGAAATCTCATCTGTAATCTCATGAGACCTCAGGGAAAGGCATTTTCCTCCCCTGAGATGATGTGCATAGTCACATGTCCTAGTCACATGTGCCAGAGTCCCAGGAAGTAAAGGGAGATATAATAATCTGCCCTTAGTAAAAATGGCCACTGCGAGAAGAATGGGGAGGAAAAGAAAGATAAGGTATGCAAAGAATTAGGGATGCACCGATATATATCGGCCGCAAAGGACACTTTTGGCTAAATGCTGAAAGTGCCATTTGTGCCGATACAGCGGCGCATCCCTGCTTTCTTTCCTCCCCACTGGGTGCTGCTCTGTGTCCCAGCGGGGAGGAGAGAAACTGTGACAGCCGGCAGAGCGCTGCAGGAGTAGAGCGCTGTGAGCGGCTGACGTCTCTCCTCCCACACCGCTCAGCATCCTGTCGCCGTTCGGCAGAGCGGTGTGTGAGGGCGAAGACAGCCCGCGCTGTCACAGAAGGCTGAGCTCGGCTTGGACCCCTAATATTTCCCCGAAGCCCCTAAAAGTAAAGTAAAAAATTAAAATATTTAATAAAAAAATAATTAATAAATAAAACTATATATTCAAAAGTTTATAAAATTTTAAAATTTCGGTAATTTTTCCTTAATATAGTAATAAAATAAAACCCCCAGTGGTGAATAAATACCACCAAAAGAAAGCTCTATCTGTCCCCAAAAAAGGGTATAAAATTAATTTCAGTACAGCGCTGCATGACGGAATAAATGTCAGTTAAAGTACCGCAGCGCTGAATACTGAAAAATGGCCTGGATGGGAAGGGGGTTTAACACCGCGGATGTCAACTGGTTAAGGCATGGTACAGTGGACACCCCGTCAGTTTTATTTTGTCATTTTAGTTTGCCTTAAAGGAGAACTATGAGGTGACTGATTTCCACTCATCCTCATAGTTAGAGCCGACCTGTGACAAAGAATCTGTCACAGGTCGGCTCTATCGATCGGGAGGTGAACAGATACATGTCACCAATCCACTTCCCGATCATCTCCCTGCAGTGAGCGATAACTGTCAGTCACGGCTCCCCGCAGGGATTCCCCTCTCCGATCTTCCAGCACTGATAGGCAGGCAGGGCCCACTGTCAATTGCACAGCTGGGTGTATCCATATTTTCATCTTTTCTGTTTGCCAGTACAGCAGCTTTGCTTTAGTTGCAATTGTCTTGAACAATCTGCACATAATTTAAACCTACATTTACATTGTGTTTTCTTCCTGTTCTAATGCAGTCTCCATAGAGTAAAATATGTACTTTGAATGGCTTCTCACCTACGCACCATGTCTCATCATTCCATTATTCTTAATCTTGCATTCTGGATTACATTATTTGCTCGCTATTCTGTTTGACAAGGATGCTAATATGCGATCACTTTTGGAAGCACTTTCCTTTATTTCTAGTTTGTTATGCTGCATATGGCAAGGTGCTGAAGTCAATTATGTAGTTTTTCATTACTTGCTAAGGTTGGGTTACCAGATTTCTGGAAGATTTACTATAAAGTGAACCTGTGACCAATTTTACATTTTTATTTTTTTTTAACAGCAAAATTCCTTCCGGAGGGCAGATGCCACATAATGTTTTATATTAGTTTGCTTAGCCAGAAAGGCTGTTTCTGTGCACTTCCCTGATTTAAGCTTGCCATACACTGCAGGAATTTCAGCCAGTTCTTCATAAACCGGCTGATATTTGTTCAGAGGGTGGCCCTGTCGCCATCCATCGCAAAATCTGGTTAGAAATTTTTTGGATAAACAGTGGCAGCGGCCAATCGGCTGCCATCACTGTACGGGATTTCTGACAGTGGCACAACCGGGCTAGTGTGTAACTTTTCCTTTACAGTGAGTGATTCATTAGTTGGGGATCGGACTGTTTAATGGTCATTTCCTAGAGGAAACTTTTACCTCAGAACTTTCCTCCAACCAACGCAAAATGATTGGAGCAATAGCAACAAGACTTCTAAGACTGTCCCATCTCTCTTTGACCTGATCACCTGTCTGTAGTTTTGTCTTTTGTGGCCTCTGGTTAGAAGATGTCTCCTACAGATTCCTAGAGGCCAAGCTATAAACTCTGACAATAAGTGGAGGTGCCAACAGCAACCCATCAAACCCTGTCGTTTTCCCAAAGATATTTTCATCTAAATTGTCTGCACAGTTTCCAGATAATTACCTTTTATCATTTTTTTTTTGTTCTACATAAAATTAGTTTTTTGCTTTCCATATATCACTGACTGTGTCCGTGTTTTTTTTGTTTTCCGCATGCTCAGTTTGGGAACACCTGCTACTGCAACTCAGTCCTTCAAGCACTTTATTTCTGCCGCCCATTCCGGGAAAAAGTCCTCGCCTACAAAAGCCAACCGAGAAAGAAGGAAAATCTTCTCACGTGCTTGGCAGACCTCTTCCACAGCATAGCCACTCAGAAAAAGAAGGTCGGGGTGATCCCTCCAAAGAAGTTCATTACCCGCTTGCGCAAAGAGAATGGTGAGTATATCTCACTGTTTAATGAATGAAAACATTTGTATTTTGTTATAGAACATTTTACACTATTCAATATGTACTATATATACATTTGCAACCGAATTGCCATGGATGTTGAACATTATGGACTTTTATCTTTAGAGGAGTGGCATAATTGTATACTTAAATGGAGAACTATGAGGTGAGTGATTTCCATTCATCCTCATAGTTAGAGCCGACGTGTGACAAAGAAGCTGTCACAGGTCGGCTCTATCATTCGGGAAGTGAGCAGAAACATGTTGCCGATCCGCTCGCTTCCCGATAGTCTCCCTGCAGTGAGTGGTGACTGTCAGTTATTCCTCTGCGCAGGGATTCCCCCCTCTCCGATACTCCAGTGTCGAATGAAGGAATGGACCGGGGAGGGCACAGCTGGCTCTGCTTCTAGATAGGCAGAGCCAGCTGTCACTCACGCAGCTGGGCGAATCCAGACAGTATTGTCAGGATCCATCCCGGCTGTGGCACTCATTATATCGCGGGCAATATACTGAGCTTTGGGTGACGGGAGGAGGTTAGTATATGTCCTCCAGTGATCCTAAAGAAAACTATGGGGGAAAACACTTACCCCACAGTTCTCTTTTAAGAAGAATACCTATGGACAATGCACTGGTTAGATTTACCGTATTTTTCGCTCCATGCGACGCACTTTTTTCCCCCCAAAAGGAGGGGGAAAATGTGCCTGCGTCTTATGGAGCGAATCCCGACGCCCGAGACATGCAGTTTCGGGCGCCGGGCAAGTAGTAGGAGCCACTGCTCGTTTAATACGAGTGATCTAATGAGATCACTCGTATTAAAACCGAGCAGCGGCGGCGATCGAGATCACCATAGAGCAGACGAAGAACGGACTTTCTTCGTCTGCTCTGTGTGATCACTGAGACCGTGGCGCTGTATCCACAGCGCCACCTGTCTCAGCGGTCACTAACTGCAGCTTCTGTCATAGAAGCTGTGACAGAAGCTACAGTCTGTTGAGTGCTCCATAAGGCGCGCCGTACCTCCCTGCGTCCTATGGTCCGGTGCGTCTTATGGACCGCAAAATACGGTAATTAGTCCCTTTCTCCTGCTCTTTGGTGGAGCTGCCTTTTAGGAAACAATAAGGAGATGTAAACATGGACAAGAAATACATTGACTGTACCATGGTGATAGCAAGTAGTGTATCTCACTTTAATGGTAAGTATCTACCTTGGAGCCTTGGAATTACCCCTTTTTTGGTGTTAAGCTGGCCATAGTGCAATTAGAAAAAATGCTGCACGCACTATTTTTCCGATCGTGCTGGACTGGAATGCAAGCATTGTTGTGCCCGCGTTCTGGTGCAGGTGGTCACACTTGCGGAGGAGGGGGGGGGGTTGCATGTCTGCGTTGCCATTGACTTAAATACACCACCACACCCCCTCCCCAGAACGCAAGGGGAAGTTTACTATGTGATACAGTGCATTCCAGCAGCTAACCACGCTGGAACGCACTATATATGGTGTGAACAAGCCCAAAAGGTGTGTTCAGCTCATTGGCTGCAGTCACTGATCAGCCAAGAATTTTTGGCCCAGCTCCATTGACAACAATTGATTAAAAAAAAAAATGTTTTGTCAAAAGGAGGGGTGCTGACATGACCACACACTACAGTGTTTAGATAGCTCTAGTCATTCTTCCTCTACCCTGAGCCTTTCCAGGATGCTTTGCATTGTTTCAGAGAGGCTGATAAAGGCAATGTATTGTGTGTGGAGGTTTTTTTTGGTCATTTTGTTTTTTTAACTGTGCTTTGTGATCTTTTGAAGTACAGCAGAGGAGATAAACTTAAGCTGACCAAACACTGTACGGATAAACCGCTTGGACTGAGGAATCCCCAGTGAAATTTGAATAGTGTGTGGCCAGCTTTACGGAGTGGTTATAGAATCGGAATCTTTTACAAAGTATTGACACACTCTGCAACACTTGGCAATGTGTTTAGTGTTCTCACAAGTTGATGACAACATCTGCCCCTCTGTCATCTACGTGTGCCCCACCATGTGGTCCAAACACCCCTTCCTGTCCAGGCCATTTTTCAGTATTCAGCACTGCAGTACTTTGGATGACGTTTATTCCGTCATGCAACGCTGTATTGAAATGAATTTTATACCATTTTTTGGGACAGATAGAGCTTTCTTTTGGTGGTATTTAATCACCACTTTTACTATTTAACGGAAAAAGTACTGAATATTTAAAAAAAAATAGTTTTCCCTTTATTATTTTAGGAAACATTTATTTTTACCCGCGAAATCGCAAAAAAACACCATAGCCAAAATTGGCCATAGGCGACGCTTTAAAAGATTTTTACAGCTCGTCAGTTTAGGGTAATCAGTGATTAATGGCCCGAGAATGATTGCTCTCATTGCGACATTCGCGGCGATATGTAACACGTGCAGCATAATTGGAGCAATCTTTGCTTTTGCTTGTAGGCGCATCTAATGCATTTTTGCGCATCTATGTAGCGGTGGGGGACTTTAAAAAAAAATTGTGTTTTTTTTGTTTTGTGTGTGTAAATTTTTTATTTATTTTGTGAGCAAATATTTTTTTTTTTTGTGCTTTTTTTTACACTTAACTGTATTGTTATCACATAGGGTGCTAAGAAATCCCTTATGTGATAAATTACAGTTACAGGTACCCTTTATGGAGACATCAGGGGTCTCTAAGACCCCTAATGTCACCTAGGGACCCCCAGAGAAGCGGATGAAGCACAGATCTGCTTTCTGTACCGGAGAGTGACAGAGGAATGCGGAAGTGATGTAATATACATCACTTCCTGCATTCAGAGACCGGGAGGAGAGCGGAGGGAGATCGCGTAATGATCTCTATCCGTTCTCAGTGCACAGAGCCACATCGCTCGGGATGGATGGAAGCCCGGGATCGTGGGGGCGGCGGGGACAGGGATGGCGACGAGAGGTAAGGGATGGCGACGAGGCATCCAGGAGACTCCTGTCCGGCCGTCTTTCAACGTTCGGCGGACGGGAGGTGGTTCAGGTAGCCAGGAGGCGTGTAATTCCCAGTTAGCAGGGAAGTTGTCTCCATGCTCCCTCATCAGCAGGTGACAAAGCATGGAGCCGGCTTTCTGGCCAAACAGGAAGCCGGGGAGCTGGTAATGACTTGCCGCCTTGCTTCCTGATTGGCAAGCTTCTCATCCAATCAGGAAGTCGGGCAATGAGTCAGTACATGGCGCCCGGCTTCCTGATTGGCCGGGAAGCCAGCTTCCTGGACAACCAGAAAGCCTGGGGGCGGGTAATGACTCACCGCCCGGCTTCCAGGTTGGCCAGCTTCCCGACCAATCGTGCGAGTCATTACACACTGCCCGGCTTCCTGTGTGGCCGGCTCCATGCAGGCTCCAAGTGACGGACAATCAGGAAGCCGGGCAGCGTGTGTTGACTCGCTACCGGATGCTCGGGTATCGGGCTAGGCATCGGAGCATTTGGTCGTGCTCGCCAAATACTTGGTATCGGCACCGATACTAGTATTGGAATCGGTGCATCCCTAATAAATAAATATATATATTTGTATTTTTGGTGTTATTTTATTATATTGGCTCAGAGTTTTTCAATTCAGATTATTTTAAATCCATGAAACTAATTACAATGTCCAATATAATACATACAATTATTATTTTTTTTAAATTATAAAAGGTGGGAAAGAAGTCACCCTGACAAATTCTGCTGCGGGAGGTACGTCGTGGTGCCATTCTTTTACATAATACCCCAAACGTGCCTCCCGACTGCAGTGCAATCGCCTGCATTGGAACGCACGGTACCGCAATGCCCTGCGTTCCAGTGCAGTGTAATTGCAAAAAATTGTGCATGCAGTTTTATTCTGAAATAAACTTTTTGTTTGTAACACTGAATTTGTGTATTTTATTTTAAATAAAATATGTTTTTTTTTGTTTTTTTATCCAATTGATCGAAAAAATAATTGGCCAACGAATCAATTCTGAAAATCGTTTGTTGCAGCCCTATACAAGTGTCTCCTCCCAATATAGGAATACCCTAAAGCTAGCAGTATACAAGGCGATCTGATCATGTGATAGTACTTTAAGTTCAATTTGTTTTTATGTAAACCGCAAAGCAGTCAGACACGTGTTTTAAATCGCCTGCAAAGCGATGGTATTGAAATTGCCTCTATTAAAAGCAGAACTCCAGCCAAATCTTAACCCTTGCAGTGGGGCTACCCCTGCCTTCCAAGTTTTAAGTGCTTGTTTTGTCTAGGGAGCTTACTCTTAGACTGGTCCCATCAGCCTGTCTGCTCCAGCGGTCTAAGGTTCTGTGAGTCACCACATTCTATACTGGACAGTGTATTTGATGTGAGGACGCTGAGGGACATTCCATTGCTGGAGGGAGCAATGTAAGAGCAAGCCAGGATCACGGTTTTGGGTGACTATAACTTTTTTTATTTTAGACAAAATGAGCACTTAACCCATGCAGTTCGGGGGTAGCCCCACTGCAAGGGTTAAGATTTGATTTGAGCTTCCTAATTTGCCTGGACTGTGTGATGCTCCTGGATATGGGTGCATTTACTTAGGTTCATCATTCCTTCTTTTTCCACCTCTGCATCATTCCACCTATTCTGCCTCCGTGGTTCCGCTTTCTTTATCCATCCCCCTGTGCATTCTCTCCTTGGACAAACAAAAGAGTGAGATTCCCCTGGTGTTGTCATAGTGATCGGCAGCGATGGAGACTGTGCACTGTCCAGTGTATGTTGGAGCATTTGCAGCCTGCTGTTAATCCTGTTTATGACGCACATTGAGAGTTCCCACACACCTGAGATATGAGGCCACCCAGTGCACAAAGCCCACAGAGGCAGCTGCAAGGCCAACATTGGTATGAATCTGCACAGGAAATGACATTTCCAAAGATACTGTAGCATGCCTTTTGATGAATAAATGCCCCGTGTTGCATGACTTTATTTGCATTTGATGTAAAAGAAGAGTGTATAAAGTACACATGTAAGCATTA